TTCATTATAATTATAATTTGGATATTTTATACTTTTAATAAAATTAGCGGTTTCTAGGAAAAAGAAAGAAAGAAAGCTAAGTACCGAGTCCATAGACGAGAAATCATTCAACATTTTGGTCCTACATTGTGTGTAATTTGTATATCTTACTTAATTCGATTATTTTTAGTCTTTATATTTTAAAATTTTAATTATTATGTCAAATTATATTATTAATCTTTGTATTAAGTGTAAATTGTAGGTTTAATTCATGTTACCGAATTTGATCATTTTAAGACATAGTTTAATCATATTGTTCTTGTACTATTGGTATCATGACTCAAATTTGAAAATTTAAAAAAAATATGTGGACTGAAATTGATCAGGACTGAAGTGTAGGGCCTAATTTTGAAACTTATGTACATGGACTAATAATAAATTTGACCTATTTAGAATCAATCAGGATCAAATCTAAACATTGAACTAGGCTACTTTGGGAACTTACAACCCATAATTGAAAGTTTTTGAGGCCACATTCAAATCAATATTGGGCCAATTGATCCAACAATTATATGGGTAGTTTAACCCAAATAATAATCCATAATCAACCCAAAAGATTTTCACTTTTTATGAAAAAAGTCCTTAAGCTTTGGGGTACGGGGCTAGATTCGATGAGTTCGATCTCATTCGATTTTGTAGATTTATTATTTTAATTCGAATTTGGGTCGAGATTAGATCAAGTTTTTCTTAAGAATAAAAGTTGGATTGGATTCGAGTTTATAGTAAAAAAAACCCCATTATTCGGTAACCGAAATAATAGTATAATTATTCTTTATATATTGAGAGATAATTAAAATAATATCTCTTTTTCTATATTTTTCATTTTGGATAGTTTTTACCCTTATATATATATATATAAGTTGAGTCAGATCAGGTCGAGTACAAGTTTTGTCTTAAAAATTAGATTGAATTTCAAGTCGGATAAAGTCTTTCTAAACTCAAGTTTGATCTAATGACAGATGAAAAATATAATACTCAAATTAGATTCGAATCAACAAAAAACTTGACTTGATCCGTACACATCCTTATTTGGGGTTTTTCTATTAAGAATCCTATTAAAAGAACTAATAAATAGTAAATATTGAATTAAATTGAAACATGATGAGATTATAATTTAACATCTCAAAATTCATAGAATTTTTTATTTTAATTAAGATAGTGTCCCATCGACATAAAATATTATATAAAAACTAAATTTTATATTAGAAAAAATGGATAAGATATATAGATAAATAAATACAAAGTTGGGGAAATGAAAATAAAAGCTTGACATGAAAGCTACGGTCGTGTGGGCTAATTAAAGCATCCATGCCTTGCTTCATCATCAACTTGTCTTCTCCAACCTTACCCCATCATGTTGCATACATAATTATATTCTAAGGTAGGTTATATGTTACTTCGTCATCTTTGATCATACTAATGTTCTTTTCTTTGATTTGTCTCCAAAAACAATCTTAATTATACATAGGGTAAAATACACAAATGGTCCCCGATTATATGGTACTACTTTACTAATATAAAATGATCACTTTACTATTTATTATATTCCAAACTCATCCATTTTCATTAAAAAAGTAGCGGTTGTCTAAGTTGGATGTTAACATGATGGCTGAGATAAGATAGTTGTTTAAGATTCATGGATCATATTTTATCATATCGCAGTCAGTAGATTAATGTTTAACTCATAATATCGTCAAATTTCTTATCCAGGAAAAGGCTAACCCATATTTGGTTTAATTGCTGCTTCTAAGAATGTTAAGGTTTAAAGTTTTTAGTCCCTAACAATATTTTGAAATTACTCTGTTTATCTAATTACTTTCACAATTCTCAACAGGTTGAAGAAGTGAAATTTATGATTCTGAAGGAGATAATAGTACCACATATCTCCAAATTATAACCTTCATTCTATATTGATCCCAAACTTATGGAAAATCCAATTTTTTGTTTAAGACTCTTATTTTATATTGGTCCCAAACTTTTGAACATTTTAAATTCATTCTCAAACTATAACCCTCATTCTATATTGGTCTCTAAACTTTTGAATATTCCAATTTCATCCCAAACTTTTGAATTATTGTGGGAGACATTATTGGAATGTTTAGAAGTTGGAGGATTGATTTAGAATGAGGGTCATGGTTTGAAGATAAATTTGAAACGTTCAAAAATATAAAGATCAATTCAGAATGAGAATCATAGTTTAAAAATGAAATTAAAATATTCATAAGTTTAGAAATTAATTTAAAATAAGAGTCGTAATTTGAATATGTCTGGTTCAATTAAGTCGTTCTAATTAGGGATGGACATGAGTCGGGTCAGGTCAAATTTTACAAAAATAGCCCTCCTCCACCTGAACCTGACCCAACCCGACCGATCCAAGTTTTTTAAATAAAACTCGAGCCCGCCCCGACCCAAAATAAATATATTTATAAAAAATAAATTTTATTCAATAAAATAAGGATCTAGTTGAAAAATAATATAAAGAATGGTATTCTTGTAATTATTCATAAATATTTAAGATACCATTATATTATTTTTTGAGTCGGGTCAAGTATTTTTCACACTAAATCGAATCCGACCCGACTCGAACTTCTACTCTAAAAAACCCGATTCAACCTAATTCTTTAGAAAGAAATCTAATCCAATAAAATCGGGTTGGATTAGAACCCGTCGAATTCGATTATGATGTCCATCCTAGTAGAACCCAAATGTATTGAGATCCACATTCTAAAGGACGCAAAAGTGAGTAATTTAAGCTAAACCCTAGATTTGATGCCACATTATTACAAAACTAGATCTTTATCCATTAAAGCTTTAGAAAAGAAATTTGACCTACCTCTTAGCTAGCTAGCATTGGTTTTGATGGACATTGATGAGTTGGATTTTTGGCCAAACATATAGTCCTATATTGGACCAACTCACCTACTATATTATTAAGCAACCTTTGTTAGGTTGAAACTTTGGTCATCGTCTAATTAAGTGAGATATAAAATTTCAAACACATCTATTCAAAGCATATTCTTTTGTATAATTATGGTTATGATTTATTGGTCCATGAATTTTTATTGAATATTATAGAAATTCATTATAGAGATAATTTTCTTAATTTTTTTTGGTACACTAAAAGGTTAGGTCAGGGGTGGCTCCCCCAGTCCAGGGCCAGGGCAAGGGCATACCTAAGACCCAATTGGGATTTATATAGGACTTTACAGATTGCCCACCAAGAGTGACGGTGGTGGGATTCGAACTTGGCATTACAAGCTCAAATTTCTGAATCTCAACCACTTGTGCCAACACTCGTTGGCAATAATTTTCTTAATTTAATTTAATTTATTTTTAACATTATAATTTAGTGTAAAGTATATAAATGGTCCCTTGTTTATAAGATATTATTTTATTGAGTCTCTTGACTATTAAAAATTACAAAATGATCCCTTGATTATAGAAAGTTACTTTGGTGAGTCCTTCAACTATTAAAAGTTACAAAATGATAACTCGACTATTCATTATATTTTAAGCTAATCATGTTTCATTAAAAATTAACGACCTTCTGAGTTGAATGTTAACATGCTGATTGCAATATAATAGTCATTTGAGATTATGAGATCAGATTTTATCATATCTCGGTCAGTAGGTTAGCATACAGCTCAGACTATCGTCAAAATTTTGATGAAAAATTGTCGAGTTTGGAACATAATGAATAGTTAGGTGACTACTTTGTAACTTTTAATAGTCGAGGGACTCAACAAAGTAACTCCCTATAGTTAAAGAACTATTTTGTAACTTCTAATAGTTAAGAGACTCAATAAAATAGTATCATATAGTCTGGGACCATTTGTATACTTACCCTAAAATTTAATTCTTTAACATTACTTAAGAATCTACCCATTCATCCTATTAAAAAAAAATCTAATGTTTGATATCGAAAGCATATTTTAGGTGTAACCATCTCTAATTGATCTTTGTCACTATATCACTATTCACAAATTTTTCAAAATTAAGATTTCTTTCCCTCAATATTGTTTCAATCAATTTTTGACCAACGGCTAAATTCACATTAATAAATTCAAAATAAAAATATATATAAAAGGGAAAATTGAAAGGTGGCAATAAATATATATAAAAGGGGAAAATTACACACTTTTGTTTTAATGGTCACATGAAAAAGAAAATTATTTTTATTTATTTATTATTTAATTTTGCTATAATGCCATGGCCCCATGAAAATTAGGTTGCACCAATAAAAATTAATAACCTATAGCCCACACCAAATAATCAATTATTAGGATATAATTGTAATACATAAAAATTGATTTAAAATTCAATTTATAGTTATGATTGAATTCGATTAAATTTTGTCTCTGAATTCATCTAAATGTATAGTTAATTTCAATCCTAATTTAATTAAAAATTTACTTTTTAAAAGACATAATAATATAACTTGATCTGACGATTTTATTAATAGGAGATGCGATTAATATATGCGTATAATTTGGGATGAAATTAGAATGTTCAAAAAGTTTACAGACCAATTTAGAATGAAGATTATATTTTGGGATGAAATTAAAATGTTTAAAACTTGGAAGACTAATTTAAAATGATAATTATAGTTTAGGGAAATATTTATTTAAAATAATTAAATTCATTCAAATTATTTTTTCATGAATAAATTAATTTGTCCTAAGAATATAAGTCAAAGTTAGACAAATTCAAAATTCAAACATTGATTATGATTATGACACTTTATTATTTTTCTTAAAAAACAGTGATTTAAATATTTTAAAATTCTTATTTGTCTTTTCCAATAAAAATTAATTCTTTCAGATTAATTTAAATAACTTATAAAAGTAAATAAAAAATATTTATTAATAATATATATTTGTAATCGATATTTAATAAATAAAATTACATGATATTGTATTAAAACCCCAGTTAAACCCTCTGTCAGCCTCTACCTCTTTTCAAAGTTGGGTTCACAACGAAGGAAAAAAAAACCAAAAAGGAAAATAAAAACATGCAGAAGCTTAAACATGGTATTCTGTTCATGTCGTTTTCCAGTTTTGACCCTCGAAAATCACTTAATTTCCACACTTATGACACCAAAAACACGATAAGCACTTGAGAGGGAGAGAGAGGGAGAGAGAGAGAGGGAGAGAGAGGATTGCTGGGTTTTCTTTTTCTTGGTGTTTTTTTTTTCATGGAGGCGAGCTTCGAAGTTGAAGCCGTGATCGAGTTCTTGAGGGAAAATGGCTTGAAAGAAGCCGTGAAAGCTCTAGAACAAGACGTGATGGAGAAAAACGAAGAAGAAGAAAAGGTGTGTGCTTTTGATTTCGAGAAGCTCTTGTTCCCGATGCCGCCGCCGGTGAGGATTACGGCGATAATCCGGCGATCGGAGGAGGACGAGCGAGTGAAGTCCAGTGATGTGTCGGGCTCCGATGGCGATGAATTCGTCAGCTTGAGGTCTTCTTCTAGTGATGTTTGCTCTTCGGGTAAGAAGAAAATTAACTCATCTGTTGACTGTTCATCTCAAGTTCATGTTTATAGTACTGTCCTAGTTTTAATAGATCTTTAGAACTAATATAGTGTTCTGATCTCGATATCGAATTATCGAACACATATATGGACGGACGCATGATCTTGTGTTATGGTATGAAACTTTAGTGATGTTTGCTCTTCGGGTAAGAAGAAAATTAACTCATCTGTTGACTGTTCATCTCAAGTTCATGTTTATAGTACTGTCCTAGTTTTAATAGATCTTTAGAACTAATATAGTGTTCTGATCTCGATATCGAATTATCGAACACATATATGGACGGACGCATGATCTTGTGTTATGGTATGAAACTTTAGTAAGTATATTAGAAATCTAGGAGTCCGAATTTAGATCATCAGAAGAAATACATTATGCGGAGAAATTGAAATTTGCAGGGGTGCGGCCGCCCCCTCGAATTATATTCAACACTCACATCCGAATCCGAGTAACATAGGATTTCACTGCCATTTGTTCGGTTCTATTTTCGATATCTAGGTGGCTGCTAGGCCTAGGAGGTGAATGTTAGTTAATCCATATGATGAACTTCATGTTTGCAGACTTTGTGAATCCATATGGACTTCATTCTGCATCTCAGGCTGATTCCGATACTTCCTCGGATAGATTATCTCAGTTTAGGACGGCACGCGAGTATCCGGATTTCGAAATGCAGAACGACTTGTTTTGGCATGAGGACAAAGATGAAGACCACTTCTTGACGCCCTGCTTCGCTGGGTCAGATTTCTACAGTATCCCAAGTCGGGATAAGTTTGTCACAACGTCAGTGACAGAGATGCAACGTGATAATAGACTGATTTCATATGACAAATCCGATGGATCTCGAACCGAAGATGGCATTGATTACTTGGACAAGCCTTGCCTTTTTAATATGACCAGCACAAATGGAGAAGACCAGGCTCGAATTATGGATTATTATCATTTTGATAAATGTAATGGGCTTGAAGGTGACATTGTACCTGAGTTGAAGAACTGTGCTTACGCCGAGGGACCGGGTCTTTATGATGAAAATCCGCTAAACTTCGGGTATATAGGCTCTAAAGGAACAGATTTTGATGATTTTCGAGTAAAGGTTGCTGGAGACATTGATGTGGATCATAACGGAGCTTCTGAACATATATCAAAAACGAATTTTTACTTGGACAGAAGGGGTTCAAATGACTTATTTGACGGGTTTGGAGGTAATTCTGACTTGGTGAACAAGATTTCCGAGAAAAAATTATTAACCGAGACAGTCGACTGTAATGAAGTTGAAGATGGAGAACTCGGTGAACTTGAGGCTACTGCAAATGAAGAGGGTGATGCTACTGATGAACTTCAAATGTACTCTAATGAGGATGAATACGAAGTATTCGATTAATGTGACGGAATACCTCGGTTCGGCTGCTTTTAGTAAGGTTGTTCGAGCGCATGATCTTCTCATGGGGATCGATGTGTGCCTGAAGATCGTTAAAAACGACAAATATTTTGTAGACCAGAGTTTGGATGAAATTAAGCTTCTAAAGCTTGTTAATAAGCATGATCCCGGAGATAAGCACCACATTTTGCGTCTCTTCGATTATTTCTATCACCGGGTATGTTAGTGAAACGGCTATTGGCATGCCTCTCATTCCGAGTTTCTTGCAGAACCATTCCGTAAGTGTTTATTAATACTAATGATTGGTTTTATCATTCGTGCGAAATCGTTCCAGGAGCACCTGTTCATTGTCTGTGAACTGCTTCGAGCAAACTTGTATGAATTTCAAAAATTCAATCAAGAATCGGGTGGAGAAGCTTATTTTACACTCGGCAGGTTGCAGGTTGCAGTTACCTATATGTTTACGAAGAGGATAACACTTTAGGTTCAATTCGAATAATCTGCTGTTGATATTCTCTCGTACAGATCATAGCTCGTCAGTGTTTGGAGGCACTCGATTACTTGCATGAGTTGGGAATTATTCACCGCGATCTGAAGCCGGAGAATATTCTTATCAAAAGTTATACGAAATGTGAGATAAAGATTATTGATCTTGGAAGCAGTTGTTTCCGGACCGACAATTCGTGTCTGTATGTTCAATCTCGCTCCTATAGAGCCCCAGAAGTCATCCTTGGCCTGCCATATGACCAGAAGGTTGACCTTTGGTCTCTCGGATGTATCCTTGCCGAGATATGTTCTGGGGAAGTATGTCTTTAATTCCGATGCTTGCTACCGATCATTTGAAACAACCTTTCCTCGGAAACGATTTAAACCGTTACTCATTTTAAGTACCTATGTCTTTTTATAGGTGCTGTTCCCAAATGATGCAGTCGTGATGATCCTCACGCGGATGGTTGGAATGCTCGGTCCTTTCGATACGGAGATGTTGGAGAACGGGCAAGAGACATACAAGTATTTCACAAAAGAATACGATTTGTACCATATAAACGAGGTTTGTTCGCAGTTTCAGCAATAGAAGTACGAATTCAACATGTTTCGATTTAATACGATGAACTCAGACAGTTTCTTTTCCTATCCAGGAGACGGACCAACTCGAATACATCTTTTCCAAGGAGTCTTCGTTGGAGCAGCATCTTCAAGTATGTGATGCGCCGGAGGAACGACGCTTTCTGTGAGTATATTACACACTCATCAAGCAATATCTTATGAGTCGAGCATATTTCCGATATCGATTTTGGTTTTACGTATAGCAAAAAAAGTGGATCACACTTCATATTTATTAACATTCTTTTAATTCATTGATTGAACCCTTAATGCCAATAACTGCATATGCTTGCAAACATATATATATATCGTTTTTCGTTACGTCTGCATTCGAATCGATACTTGCTCGGATTACTGTGTATGTTCCTCGGAACTTCATTTGTTACACCTCGAGAAAAGGGGGGAAATGTTCTGTTTTTAATTTTTCCTCCATCATTGAGTTCTAATACTATGTTTTAACTTGCCTGCAAATACCAGAGTTGCATTGTTACCTTGTTCATCAAGTAACAATGGCGGATCCAAAGGATCTAATACAATATAGATTAGATTAATTCGATCTGTTTCTAATTTCTTATCCATCATTGAATTCTAATGCTATGTTTTAACTTGCCTGCAAAATTTGCAAATACCGTTGGTAAATTACTACCTTGTTCATCAAGTAACAACGGATCCCGTAGATCCGTTGTTTTTTAGAATTGAAATAATATGATATAAACTATATTAACTCAATATCTAGTAATTATATGCTACATGCGGAAGTGTATCTCACTCCATTGTTAACTTATTTCTTGGGATCACTATCTATTTATATAATTGATTATTAAATTAATTTATAAATATTTATAATTTTGTCGCTCATCAAATTACAAATACAATTTATTCAACTTAACTTTTGAATTTATTTTTTTTAATTATTTTATGGCTTAATTAGAAAATAAGTATCTAAAATATAATGCTTTTATCAAATAGGTGTCTAAACTTTTTTTATTCATTCAAGTGCCTAATGTTATAAACGTTACTATTTAAGGTGTCTGGGCCGTAACGGTTGTTAAATTATGCCATTAAAGGACACATGTCGCGTTCATGTAATTTTGAAAATTTTATTTGAAATAAATAATTTAAAATTATATTTAAAAAAACCAAATTTTTTGAAAAAGATAACTAAATATGCCTATTATAAACATTATTTTTGTTTGGGTTTAAAAATTAATTCATCGAGCCTGAATCAAAATTAAACAAAAAATATATCTAATTAAAACTCAAATCCAATATGCAATCCAAATTTAATATACAATCCATATTCAATACCCTTAACCCCAATAGCAACGGAACAACCCAACCCTCAACCCCCTCCAAGTTCACTTTGCACCCAATATTGGAAAACAACAAAATTATTACATATTCTCATATTTCAGAGGGGTTAATTTAGAAAAACTTTAATAACTTGATAAAATTATAATATGTAAAAGAAAAAATTATAACACAACCTAAATATCTGCCAAAAAATAGTCTACAAACCTATAAAAAATAGAGGATAACTAACAAAAGAAACTAAAATAAGTAGAGCAAATTTAAAGGAAATGTCAAATCTTTATTGAAATCTTCCGGTGACAACGAACAACTCTGACCGTAAATTCGTACGGTGAGTGGACAAAGATTCTAAGACCATCTAGATCAAACGATGCTCACTTTTCAAAAATCAAAATGTTATATTTGAATTAGTTAATATATACCAAACACAAATTTATAAATATCAACCATAATATCAAAAAATAATATACATACATTGAATCAAATAATTTTTTATTCATACTAAATCGAAGAATTAAAATTTACAAATACTAAATCAACATATAATCAAATTACTAAATTAAATCTATATTTCATAACATTAATATTACAGATCACAACATATTTCTTAGTGAACTAAACCATATTCTTATATATATTCATAACATTTTCAGCTTTTAACTTTTTTTTTATCGTGAGAATGTATAAGGCCTCATCAGCTTAAACTTTAGTAACCTTTTAAGAGAAACCTAAAATGTCAATAATATTCTTAACATTTATCGATTATAACTCATTTTCATACCTTGCATAACATTTTGGTGCAACATGTTATGTTACTCCGACTAATAACTTTTTCGGTTCTGATTTATAACATTTTGTGTTTCACTTTTAACATATTACTTTTTTTACCAGTCATGTCATTTATTAACCTTATTTTAAGTGTCTCATATCAGAACTTCTCGTTATAGGCAACTTGTTTTGTATGAGGTATATCCAACCAATTTTGAATACATTACAGGTCGATATTATTGCCTCATCCGACTGGAAAGCAGGAGAAGAAGCTCAAGTTAATATAGAGGGATTGCACCAAGATATATTGTCAAATTATATTGGATATCTAACAAATACGTTAAAAACACTTTATCAGAGTGCGATTGCAGGCAACGATAGAGAAAAATTAATAGCATCAAATTAAAAGTAATTTGTATAAATTAATTAATTAATTTTAAAATAAAAGGTTTTCTCTTTTAATCATTAAAAATATCAATTTTGGAAAGTCAGTGTATAAATATATAATTATCATTTACGAGATATATCTCGAGAATATTCTAAAATAATATGAAAATAATATATATATCTAAATATATTCATAAAATAATTTAGATATTTGTGATATTTGATATTACATCTAGAGTTATCTATAAAAGATTCTCTGTAACACCCTCAACCCGTATCCGACCCGGATACAAGTCTGAGGTGTCACATTGACTTTTCAAACTTTAATCTTTTAACGAAAACCAATGAAATTTAAAACTTTGATTAAAATAACATTGTCACTGCACACGAGTTAACCAAAATAAGACAAAACTAATCAGAGCATTTGAACTAACACTGTTCTTACATGCCAACACACTACATACAACAAAATACCTACTGTGACTTTACTTCTGATCTGATCGCTGAGTAAAGATAGGTTGATCTGCAAATTCCTATTCTTGATTCTCCTGCTCTTTGAAACCTACGTGTAAAAACACTTACACGCTAAGTCATAGACTTAGTGAGCATAATTACATCATAAAGAATTATTAATATAAACATCGTCTACTATCCAAACACAATTATACTATCATACCATCATTATTATACCACATATGCCAATACAAATCGTAATAATACCATATTAAGAACAACTATATACATCCTCGTTTGTCTTATTTAAGTCATATACACTATTGAGAACCCAAGGTATACGAGTATTATGAGATTGTGCACACGTATGCTGTCCCCACAGCTCCATGAATTTTCCGAAGGACCTATCCAGAGGTCATAAAGATCCTCGGTAACTATCCAGAGGTCATAAAGATCCTCGGTAACTATCCAGAGGTCATAAAGATCCTCGGTAACTATCCAGAGGTCATAAAGATCCTCAGTAACTATCCAGAGGTCATAAAGATCCTCGGTAACTATCCATAGGTCCCGAAGAACCTAGGTAAACTATCCATATGTTCCTTAGAACATAGGTATACTGTCCATATGTCTCGAAAGACATAGGTAGTTCTTTGACTCTTGGCATACCAACTACTTACAGTTCTCATAACTCATACCATGGCATTGTCTTTTACCTTATACATATTCATACATCATATCACATTTTTCTTTTTCTATATAGCTCTTTATCACATGTTCATATGATCATCCCTCATATGATTTCATATTCATATTCTGTATATTTCATATTCTTTCTTATGTCATTTTCATACTTCTTATTTCATATTCTTATGAAATCATATTGATCATTTAACTATTCACATATTTAACACATTTATCTACATATTTACACAACTCATATAATATATATATATATATATATATATATATATATATATTGTAACATGTCAATACATATGCTCATTCATACATATAAACCATAACAAACACAGCACACACACTTCATATACCTAATATAGATATCTCGTAACTCATTCATATAAGCTCTAATCTGGAACATAGACTTACCACAATCTGCATAGTATATCCCATAATGTATATGGTATGAATTCATATCATATTTAATAATCTTGAATGAATCATGTATCAAGATATTAAATCTAGACTTATCGCAGTTCTAAAACTGAATATACTAACATAATCATGTTATGCACATGCACTCACCTTAGCCTTGTTGAATTGAATCAATTCTAACCCTTCGTTTACTTTGAAACAAAGTCACGTTCAATATCTACATAAGCATAATTTTCAAGATGATTATCAGATGCCCAAGTCTTGAAATTAACCTCTAATATCCTACCAATTTAAGGGATTATAGTTTAGTCTCTCTTCTTTCTTCTTCTTTTTTCATTATGGGGGAATCGGTTCCCCCCTGGGGTATCGATTCCCCTCTAGCATTCTGGAATTCTTACTCGTTTGAGGGGGAATCGATTCCCCTTGAATGGGTACCGATTCCCCTAGCCCAGAATCTCATTTTGAGCTCGAAAATCACCTTATTTCAGCTCAAACCTTCCTATTTCACTTCCTTTAATACTCCTAACTTTAATACACATACTTAAACTTATTCTTATTCCCTAATCACTTCTTTAACTTCAAATCTAGTCATTCCTATGTAATTGCAAAATTATACTAGTTTTGCAACATGTTTCAAATTCCTATTCTAACACTTCCTATCCCTTAATTGACTTGATGACAAGTCAAATTCAACTTCCAATTCTCAATATAAACTTTATTTCGATATTTCATTCAAAAACTTCAAATCTTTAAATCCTCATAAACTCTTCATTTTGTTGTTTTAAAGCAAATTAATCCTTCCTTAACCTTACTTAGCATCTAATAATCAAAACTAAACTTAAATTTCAGCACATAATCAGCTCAAGAGAAAACTCACCTTTGCTTGGCTTCACACGTGGAGAAGAGAAAATGAAGAAGAAAAGAGAGAAAAGATTTTTCTGGAAAATCTCCCATCCTTATCCATATTTATATATATATCATTTAATTATAATTTTTCAAGTCTAATGATCATTTTGCCCTTTAATTCTTTGGATAATTACTATAAACTTTTAGGAAATATTTCCGAACAAATCATTAAACTATTAAACTATTATACTTT